GAAAACTGAATGTTCACGATAACTCATACATCTACACGTGCTAATCCTACTGAGAGTCTTTCATCTGCCAGATGAGGCTTTGAATGAAAGCTACCATGGAACTTCCTCTTTTTTCTGGTTACCAATTAGAATTGGCACAAAAGACTTGGCTATGAAGTTAGTTGTGAAATGTCAAGTTTCTTAAATTTATTGGTACAAGGTTACACAAAAATTAATGACTTCAATTCAATAGGTTTTGTTTTGTGCTTTAATAGAAACTTGCCTGCAGCTTTATTAATAAGAAGTATGTCACAGGTGAAGGATGGCCTTCGGGACGACAACAGGTACAAAGCTGTAAAGCATGAAGATCGAGAGATTTTCTTTAATGAATACATATCGGAGTTAAAAGCTGCTGACGATGAAGCTGAGAGGGCAGAAAAGGCAAAAAGGGAGGAACAGGTACTGAAGTTGCTTAAGTTAGGATATCTATTAGCGCCCCTTTTTTTCCTTAAAAGGTGTTAGTGAGCAGAAATCTAGGTCAAAGCCTTCCACCCTCCTGGCGTGTTCTTATTATGTACTTCTTGAATAACCATACAACATTTTCACATCTTGTGTTCGACAAAACCATGTGTTTGCTCTTAATCTTTACAGAAAGAGTCTTCTAAACACTTCTGTGGTTACTCAAATTTAATACGTGTTGTGTTATAGTTGAAGAAGCATCTTCTCTTTTCAATGCTGATGATGACAGTGGCAACGGATCTTGTTCCCCAAAGTGTTATTTATTTATCCTTCTTAATTTTTATTAACGTAAAACATAAGTGAACTGAAAATCTCTTAGAGTTGTAAGTACCTTGGAATAATGATTCCCTTTAGAATTTAAGAAGTAATTTGAATCGCCTAATTATCAGCTTATCATATGTATTGAATCACTGTACTTACGATTGGGAGAGTATCGTGTATCTAGGAAATTTTGTTTACCTACTCCTGGAAAGTTGGAGTGCTAGTAAGATAAGGTTGCCTTTTATTTTATTTTATTTTATATATTTTTTTTAATGCTGTGTTATACAACACTATTGCAGGAGAAATTGAAAGAGCGTGAGAGGGAATTTCGAAAGAGAAAAGAAAGAGAGGAGCAAGAGATGGAAAGAGTACGGGTGAAGGTTCGTAGAAAGGAAGCAGTTGCATCATATCAAGCATTACTGGTTGAAACAATAAAAAATCCTCAGGTAAATTCTTGATTTCCAGAGTACTGTCATTTATCATGGAAGGCACACTGGGGCATTGGGGGGATTCTTGTCTCAGGAGTGCCAGCACAGTTACTGGCTTAATTCCCAGAGGAGGGGTGTTATGGGTGCAGGAGCTAGAAGAGCTTACCACTCTTTCAAGTTTCAACTCCTCATCCTCAATTGTCATTTTTATAGCATCTCACCGTTCTTGTCATTCATGTTCCTTGATTCCTCCCATATTCCAGATACAAACCACCATTTAAAATCTGTAGGGGTTACAGTACACCAACTACGACTTTAAAGTTATCCATGTAATCAAATACACCAGCATTTGTTTTATAATATTATCACCCTTAAATTCTTCTGTTTTGAACAACTTGAACTTATGTTGGCTCTTTAGCCTTATTTGATTTTCCATATTGACATACAAACTTTCTTTGTTGAACTTTTGTGGTGGATCTGCTTTCTAGGACTGTAGGTTATTCAATTTCTGTCTCTCTTATTAGGTCAATGGCTATTTCATGTTTGCCAACTTCTATTGCTAGGCATCTTGGACGGAGTCAAAACCTAAACTTGCGAAAGATCCACAAGGACGTGCGTCCAATCCTGATTTGGATGAATCTGACTTGGAGAAGCTCTTTCGAGAACATGTCAAGATGCTTTATGAGGTATGCAGTAGGAGAGTTATGATCATATTCTTTTCAATTTTAATGCATTAGTGATCCAATCCTCTGAGCTGACAAAAGTGCTGAAATCTCGTTCATGAATTTGTTCTGGTAATTTGCTGTTTATTGTGTATTTTATTTTATTGTACATTATACATTTTTTAGCAATTGGTTTTCGGCAATTTTTTTGTTGGGGCCTTGAGAGGGGTGGGGGAGGGATTATGGGGGTGAGGGGGCATGGTTTGGAAGAGAGTGAAAGCAGTTACTCGGTTACTCCAAAATATGAATTGTTTTCTGAGTAATTGGGATGGTGACTGTAATACCTTGTTTGGATTGAAGGAGATGGAGGGATGAACTATCTTTCATTTGGATAACAAAGGAGAGATTTGGTAGGAAAACTTATCTTTCTTCCATCCCCTCCCCTCCCCTCCCCTTCCCGTCCTACCCCTTCCCCTTCCTCCCTTTCTTTTTCTTCAGTGTTCTGAATAGTTGAGATTGTGGTTGGAAGTGTAATATCTTCTTTCTTATTATACAATTAACAGTTCCATGTGCTATTTTGGGATGTCTAAGAGAAGTTTGAACTTTGAAGCAAACATTTTTTTAATACTAAGTGTACTAATAGATTGATTAGATTTCCCAAGGTTCTCCTTGATTGGAATGAGCGAGGAAAGAGAGCCAGGACGCACCTATTATAAAGCATATCTTGCGAATTGTGAAAATTACATAGTTATCCCATTAAATCACCCACTCTTTAATTATAACGGGTTAGGGCAGGGTGACATTTTTTTTATCTGTGACGGCCAACCTAAAACAGGCATTTATTACATGTGCCAAACGTGCTAATTTGAGTTTGGCTTTCTGTATGATTGTGCATAACCTTGCTCGTGCTTGATAGTTGATATTATGCTGCAATTTATTCTGGATGGAGGATCTGAGTTTAACCTTTGCTGCAAATTATTCTTCTTTAATACTTCATGGTCCTAGATTAGTTTGCTTTTTCATTTATCCTAAAATAGTTTAACACCACCTTTTTTTTTTTTAATAATTATTTCATACCTCTCCTTTTAGACCCACTCTCTCCCTTCACACATGTTTTCATGAAGTAACAATACAATATTCCCCACAAACTCCTACCATATTTTTTTCAATTAAAATGACACTAAGTTATTGAACAATTTATATCCTAAAATCTGTTGTGGAGTGGATTAAATTCCACATAAGGTTTTTGTGATTTAACTTTCAGCTTGATGATATTTTCTGTACCCACCCCTGCCCCAGCCACCCAGGCTTGTTTAACTTGGAGTTTGTTGCCTCTTTCGATGTCCAGAGGTGTGCACATGACTTTAGAGCTCTTCTGGCGGAGGTTATTACTCCTGAAGCCGCAACAAAAGAGACAGAAGACGGGAGAACTGTACTTAGCTCTTGGTCTACTGCTAAAAGCTTTCTGAAATCAGACCCTAGGTATTCGAAAATGCCTAGAAAAGATAGAGAAGCACTTTGGAAAAGGCATGCAGAGGAAATGCAGCGTAAGCAAAAAGATGCTGCTGAACAGAAGGGAGAGAAGTATAACGAATCTAAAAGTAGGAATTCAAATGATTCTGTGAGGCCTTCCTCAGCATCCAGAAGTGGGCAGGAATGGAGATAAGTCCTTTTTTTACGAGGTAATGAGCTCAGTTTATATTATATTTGTATAACTAAACACATTTTTACAATATTTTTAGTGTAGAAGTATATATATTGTATGCTGGAAGACAGGGATTTCTTTTAACAGTTGACTGAGTGAGATTGAAACATTGAAGCACTGATACTTGAGTTAAAATACAATGAAACACTCTCTGTCCTCAAATAAAGTTTCCATTTCTTCTTAGGCACAAGTATCTAGGAGTGAAATAGTGGAGTAGGTTTTGTTGATTAAAGGTGCATGATATAAGTTGGTATATTTTAATGTTTATGATAACGTGGTGAGAAAAAAAAGAGTTTTATTTAAAAAAATTTGAGTGAAATAATAGAAAAAAAATAAAAATTAGCTGGTTGATTTAATGTTTGTTTGTCTGCCTTTTTGTGTGAACTCAACTCATATATGAAATGGAAAGTTTTTTTGGGGACAAGCATTTTGTTAGAAAAGGTAATTATATTGGGGATGGAAGGAGTTAAGAGTGAAGATCAATGAAAATTATGGATTCTTGCAATTTTATTGCTTCTGTATTAAAATTGGACCTGATGATATGGTTGACATTTTGATAACCAGGTTTATGTTACGAGAGAGGAGAACCCCATTCAATCGAGCAACTTTCACTTTGGCCTACTTCCTCTCAAACCACAGGTTTGAAGTTTAAACGTCTTCTGAGCGATAATGGATTGGAAATTTTGGTTATAATGAAGGTCTTGATGACTTGCTGATTGACATTGCTGCACGTGAAAACATAGAACCAAACTGTGCTCCATAAGAGCATGCTGCATGTCGCAGAGAGATGAAGATGCTGTGATATTTGCAAGACACCATCACTAAATCACCTCATGCGAGTTTCTGATCTGTGGACAATAGTGCAATACATGAATATAGTTGGATGAATTAGAAAAATACATGAAGCCTAGAGCCCTAGAAAATTGTAGCAGTAGGCTTTCATCCCCTTTATTTCCCCCCTTTAACAATCTGTTGCGAATATTTTCTGTACATAATTATCCAAGTAGTTTTTTGTACCTAACCTAAATTAAGGGTTACTTTCTGATAGCTAATGTTAACTTTTCTCCATATGTAGTCTGCATTTTCTCATGTTCGTCATTATCAGTTAATATCTATGATTATGTATGTATATAAATCCTTTAAGAAATACATACTTCCTCTAATTTAATTAACATATTATTATTGGTAAATGTAGGAGAGAGATGATGAGACTTTCAAACAAAAAATGGTGCAATTATAAAAAACAGTAGACTAAAATTGTTTTACAGTACAATTTTTATCTTTTGTTTTATAAACAAATCTGGTTCAAAAGAAACCTGATCTAGATCAACTATCGCCTTAGCTAACAATCCTTTCATTTTTACATAACTCATAAATCCATGATTAATCTGTACATTGAGAAACTTCACGAAGTTTAGGACGGACGCCGGTCCAAATTCAAAGAAAGAAAATGTAAAGGGGATGGCTTACTAATGGCATAGCTCAAACAGAAAGGGTACAACAAATATATTATCATCTGCTATAGTACCTACAAAGGCAGAAAGTTGGATCTCTGTACTTCATATGCCTCCTAGTATCCTACATTACATACAGATCAAACCAACTCATACACAGAATTTTTGACCTAGAAAAAGTGTGTTCCAGCCTCAAAATGTCAGTTTCGGTATTAACAATAGCTTTCTGAACTGGGGAAGGTAAAATGTTCCATGTTCGAAGCAAGACATGAGTTTTCAGACACCTGAGCTTTCCTCGGTATCTGGAAAGATGAATTGTAAGTCTTCATTATCTCTATAAACTTGAACGAGCGCGGCAGCTTTGTAAGCAAATAATCCCAACATAGCAGGCACAATCTAACAATGAATCAGAAGGATAGTTAAGAGCTTAAGACCAAATTCGTAGATATCAAAACTCCCAGCCACATTATGAAATAACCTTTAAACAGTTTGTGTAATACCTGGAAATCAAAGAGATCAGTAGCGAAGTTCTGGTGAAGCAGGACCCATGTTCCATATATTGCTGCAGGGATTACAAGTCTTGGAGACGAAAGAGCGATCCCACTTCCCTTGACTGATTTTTCAAGTGAATCTCTCAGATCCTCACTTCGTATTCCAATTCTGATCAGTATGACAGCAGACAGGTAAGGGGCAGAGAAGCACAACATTAGCTATCTAAATAACTAGGATGTAATCTTATATATATATATATATATAATATATATATATATATATATAATATATATATATATATATATATATATATATATATATATATATATATATATATATATATATATATATATAATATATATATATTTAAACATTTAGCATAGTAAGAAAGGCGAAAAAGGTGTACTTCTTTGTTTTCTTTTGCCGGAAAATTTGTGGAACTGAATCCTGTGATATGTTGTCTGCATGCTGGTACAAAAGTTGTAGATACAAGAAACTGCAAGAGTTTAATGACAAATATTAGCTGAGTAGTTACAGAGAAACTCAAAGGCTTGGCTTCAACTTAATCAACTTTCACAATATTCAAGTTCACCAGCACCTAGAATTTAACTATTAAAGAAGGTAACTAACCTAAATCCAACTCCTGAAGCATAACTCACTGCTGCCTAAGAAACATACAAAAGAAATGCATAAGTAAGAAAATAGAATCATATACCACTATACCAGGTTCAGAAATACTATCACCTGCTATAATTAAAAAAAAAAAGTATTATAACAGAAGATTAGGTATAGCTTCAGAGTTTTCATTGTTTCAAGATTTATTATATTTATATTAAAGAATATACTCCGTAAAATTTTTTCTTGTGATTAAAACTCACCTCCTGTAGTACATATCTTCTTAAGCATATTAAAGAATTTTTAGAAGGAATTAATTGACCACATTAATAAACATAGTAGGTGGTTCTTCGTAAGTTGCACTTGCACTACTCATGACAACTTATTGGATAAGCAAGAAATACAGTTTGAAAGAGAAGCCAGAGATGCAGTTACGTAGTAGCTTTATAGTCAAGTTTTTTGTAGATAGAAGCTTGTTATCTGCATTAATGAGACTACCAACTGTACATAATTTCCTTTTACTCATCTTACCTGGATTGAGAATATGAATAAGCAATACCCAGTACAGGCGGCTCCAATCCCCAAAGTCATGAACTGCAATTCCCTCTTAAGCTGGAAATGCAATCATGCTAACATCAGCAACGTTAATGACCAATAAGCTAGAAAAACTAGGAGATTGATCCATGGTAAAAATTAGAGAATTTAGATAAGGAAATAAAAAAAAAAAAAATATTTATTTTTATCATTATTTTACTGTGGCTAATATATTCAAGAATTTCCCATCATGATAATTAGCATAAGAAAAAAGGTCAGGAACAGTACCAATCACTGTTTGACTACAGTCAGGAATATGAATATTTCTTAGGCCATCACAAATAATTGTACAAACCTTAAATCTACTGTAGAATTAAATTTTTTCCCTGAGGGGGTGTTTGGAATGTGGGATTATGAGGTGGGAATAGGAATATTAATCCCAACTTCCCAAGTCTCCATAATCCCATGTTTGTTTGATGGGAATTAGTTTAGGGAGTGGGAATAAGCTTGAGAATATTTACCCTCTATTCCCACCATTTTATTACCTAGGGGGGTAGGTAATAAAATGGTGGGAGTTCTCTAGCTATATAAAAGACATAATTGCCCTCAACTTAATAATGCATATCAAATTTGAGTCTTTGAGATTTAAGACAATAAGGATAAAATTGTAATTTCGGCCTTTAATCCTAATTTTATTCCAAGTTATATGCCAAACAAGAGATTGAGAATATTTGACAAACTCCCACTTACCAATTCCCATTCCCACTTCCACTTTATATTTCCCAAATTCCCATTCCCACATGCCAAACGCCCCGTCAAGGAACTAGCATAAGGGTAATATTTAATCTCTGATCATAAATTGATTGTAAACTACTTTATAAATCTTTTAGGGACGGAGGGAGTAGTTTATAAGCAGATGCTCCAACCTCATATCAATCTTAATGATGAATTTGCACCCTATTCCTGTTAATCACTAATATAACCAGTTCTCTTTCAAAAAAAAAAAAAAAAACTAATATAACCAGTTCTTCTATTGGATATTTAGAGATTTGTTTGGAATGCACCAAGAACTCTTTGTTTAACCATTTTGGCCTACATTGAATGTTTTTAGAGTCCTCTGCTGCAAAAAGTAAAAGGCTTGACATATTCCTGTATAAAAGAAAGTTTATACTAACAAAGGGATGCAGATAGAATATACAGAGTTTGACATTTTTTTTTTTTGAATACAGAGCTGACATTCTATCGAGTATTTGAGTTAAAACAGTAAAAAAATGTACTATGTTGTAGTATTTATTGAAGATTCATTTACATCAACTACTATGAGAAGTATCTGCCAAATATGTCATTGATAAGTAAAAGATATAGGAGAAGAGAGGAGAGAGGTTCAAGTTGATTCATTAATTAAAGATAGCTTCCAGTAGGAAATTTATGAGAAATTCAACTAAAATTTTTAGAAAAAAGATAATTGATCCAGCTTTGGTGTGGAGTGTCGTCCTCAATGAAGGTCAGACATAATTTAACAAACAGAAATTCTTAATTGGATAGTATTTATTATCATCACTTCTCAATTTCTCATGTAAAAGCAAATATAATAGGACATCATCATCTAAAAGATATCAGATATAACATAATTTCAATATAATCTTGATGCTGAGGCAAGAAAAACATAGGCAATGAGTAGCTATTTTCATGCATGTACAATCAAGGGTCTTACAGCTTCATAATTTAGAAAGTTGAGCCTCCTTCTTTTTTCCCTATCGTCCTGTATTTCCTATTATCAGATGCCGAATCAGTAAGTTGTCTGTTTGTCCTCAAAAAGTGAATTTGTATAACAGCCTAAAAATACAAAAGGTTGAGGAAAGAAGGAAGCATTAGCAAGCATGAGGCAGATGTTAAACCAGACCTTATTGGTTGGCTTCCTATTGATTGGTGCAGAAGTTTCACCCATCAACCATTCTTGAGTTGTTGTCAATTTTAGAAACCCTGCGTCAGGCTCATCAGTCAAGGCCTGACAATACTTAGATCATAAGAAAATTGAAACATGCGAAAATCGAAATGGTAAATTAAAGACATGCAGGTATCACTTAAAATACTAGATACTAGAAAGAATAATAAATCTGTGGCTATCTAGAGAAAACTAAAAATGCATCAGGTCAATTCCAGATATATTTGAATAAAGTTCTAGGTTTATAGGCAAACTTAACTACACCATTATCTACAAAGAACAAATGGAGAACTAAAAAGTGCCGCGATACCTCTGTATTTGGTTGAGAGCTATAATCTACATCAGCAGCTTCATCATCAATGACTCTCATTACCTCTTTCTTAAAAAATCTATCAGAGTATTTTGTTATAATATCTCCATTCAACTGTCTATCCCGGAAAAATTCTCGCAAAACATCTTCATCAGCACGTTCACTTGCTGAAGAAGATCAGAAAAGATATAAGCATGACGTCATAATAGAGCAGCCTTATTCAGCTTATAATTTCAGACATGGCCACATGAGCACAATATAGTCAATAATTTCAATTTTTACAAGTTGAGGTCTGCTTATCATGGACAATATCAAAGCACTCCATGAGATTTCTACCATCAATCACCAACTTAAGCACACCAAAGTATAGTGTTCTATCAACCCGAGGTAAGGCAATTTGAAAGATATGTTCAATTCTATTAAAATTGAGTCTTTGCAATTGCCAATTCAACCGGCTTTACGACAGCAAGCACATCAAAAAATTAAGCTCGGATTCATGGTAGAACATACAAGTACACAATGTAAATCTTTGCTTTTGCCAATTTGATCCACCTAAGGCCAACTTCTAGTTTGGTAAGACATTAGATAATTCTTTATAAAAAAAAAGGTACTATTCCTTTCACCTGAATTCATACACCACTGACAAAGACGACAACGACAACGACAACAAACTGCCACAAGAAGGCGAATCATAGAAATCTAGCTACACAAAACCAATACAATCATAACTCAAGATTAAGAAAAAATTTAATTTGAACTTAAGAATAATGCCGAAACACAACATTCCAGAGCAAGAAATAAGATAGGGAACAATAGTATGAATTTCAGTCCATTATAAGTAAATAAATGCTTCATTTACACAATCCCAACTCAAAATGATGAATTTACACTAAAATTCACAACACCCAGATCACCTCATCCATGAAATTTCTTAAATTTACCATAAAAAGGGTTAATTTTAAAAACCCATAATTCTAAAACACAAATTCATGAAAATGTTGCAAGAAGCAAGAAAATTAAAAGTAAGGATTTATAGAAGTAACCTTGAGAAGGGGATTTAAGGACAGAAGCAGTGGGATTTCTTAGTGAAGATGATTTGGGAAACAATATTGTATTACTTTGATTTGAATTTCTGGCAAAAAAGATGTTCATAAAAACTGGGCAGCTTCCTCTTGAAAGAGTCTCCATTCTGCAACTATGAAGAGTGTAGTTAGTTGATAATCAATGGCAGAGTAAAGAGAATTGGGTGGTTGTTTGAGTTGATTCTTCTGGATAGATTTTTATCTGGTGAAGTAGTGAGTGGCAGTGAGCCTACTGACTAGACTATTACAGATTTACGGTGTATCGGCAAATTCTAGTAAAACCATGTCTAGCTCGGTATAAAGACTAGAATAGACCCGGTCTACAATAACTTATTGTAGAACCAACCTTCTAGTATACCATACGAATGTGATTATTTCATACGAAATGCGATTATATTACGACAAAAGTGATTATATCATCCTGAAACATTTATGTAAATGTATCACTCAAAAAGTAAATTTATCATTATAAAAAGTATTAAATAGTAAATTACATCATTCAAAAAGGTGATTTTTAAATTTTATCATCCTAAAGATAATTATATAATCTCATTAAATGATTTAATATGAGATTATTTAATTCAAAATATGACTTACAAAAAGATAATTATATCGTCTAAAAAAGTGATTATATCATCCAAAATGTGATTATATTATTTGAAAGTGTCAAATTTTGGGTCTTTAATAATTTATTGTAGACCGGGTCCATACAAGACCAATTGATCGATTTTATACACAAATTCTCCAAAAATGCCGGTTTATGTTAATTTATTATCAAACGAGTTAAAGTTATTTCAAAAGTATTTATGAGTATCTTTATATTGCAAAAATTATTATTTTTCTATTAATAAATTTTATCTTACAAAAAACTTATAATGTATTAGATTAATCATCCTTGTTTTTACCGTATGTAGTCACGTATCTATAAGAAATTAAACATTAAAATAAAATTCAAACAAACAATAAATTAAAAGGTATTCATTAATTGGTTAAAGTTACCATAAAATAGTTTAATTTATGCTCAAACGGACCGTTTTACAATAAAATTAATGTATACAAGACTTTTTCCGATTTATATAGTCTCGGCTCATTTACGTCTTCTTTTTCACTAACCCTGCTTGTATAGATATTTTTGTTTATTTTTACGGGGATTAAGAATGAAAAATGAAATTTAATGAAGTTTTTAAAATATGTATATATCATATAATAATTATATAAATAATTTTTTATGGGACGAAATAAATGTTTTAATAATTGAATATATAAATTGACTCATTTTTAGGAGTGAGAATTCCCTTACTCCCCCCCCCCACCCCAACACTTCTAGAGTGCTTGGCTCGTTAAATCGGGTTAGAAGGACCTGTGAGAGGATTCTGATCCGATAAGACATTTTGCCTTATCAACGAAAAAAAAAAAAAAAAAAAACTAGTAGGAATAAAGGATGGAATACCAACTTTAGATAAGAAGCGTGTAAGGGAATAGGAGAATAAGGAGATGAAAGATGAAACAAAGTAAGGCAAGTAAGTCTATTAAAAAAAAAAAGTAAGGTAAGTAAGGTGTGTGGGGGAGGAGGGTGGTAAAAAAACAAGTAGCGTAGATTGTTTTTTTTTTTTTTTTTCTTTTTTTTTTGGTGAACATAATTGGTTGCTTATTTTTTTTTTGGAAAAATTGACATTTGCTACCAACGAAAACACCTCGTGTCACATTTGCTACCTGTTTAAAAAAATATTTTAAATTACTACCACACAAATTCCCTAACTGTATATATTGCTACCACTTAACGGAATCTGTTAAGGTTCCGTTAAGTGGGCCCCATATTTCATTAAATAATAATTTAAATTATTAAAAAAAATCCTTAAAAAAAAAATCTCAAACACCCCATCTCCCCTGTCCCGGCGTCAGCCACCCTCCCCCCTCCCCTTGATGGCACCCAAATTTTTCCCCGATGCCGGCGAACCCCACCTCCTCCATTTCCCCTCCTGCCAACCACCCCTAACCTCGTGGTCTCCTGCTGCTAAACCGCCACCTTCGCCGCGAAATTCCACCAAATGTTCATCGGCGGCACCCCGACTTTTCCCCCACCCCTACGCAGCCAATGAACCCCCTTCCCCTTCTTGTTGCCCCGACCACCAGCCTCAAACCACCAACCAATCGAAACCCTAAAATTCGAAATCGAATTCGAAATCCTAAACCACCAGCCCCAAACCGCCGAAATCGAAATCGAAACTCTCGTTTAGGGTGGTTTGAGGCTGGTGGTTTAGGATAAGTGATGGACGAAAGGGTAAGGGAAAGGGAGGGGGACGATTTCGGTGGGGGGAATAGGGAGGGGGGCGATTTCCGGTGGGGGAAAGGGAAAGGGGGTGGTTTCTGGTTCGGGGTGGGGGGAATGGCAGCAAGAACGGGAAAAGGGAGGGGGGTTGGCTGCGTAGGTAGGGGAAAGGGAGGGGTGGGGTCGCGCCGGCAAGGGGGGTGGGGGTGGGTTTGCGTCGGCGCCGGCAGGGGGGAGGGGTGGTAGTTGAGGGGACGAGTGACAGTGAAGTAGAGGGGTGGCTGCAAGGTGGTTGAATGGTGGCTAACGGAAAAAGTAACGGCCTTAGTCTTTGGTAGTGAAATATATATTTTAGGAATTTGTGTGGTAGCAAAATAAAATTTTATTTTCAACGGGTAGCAAATGTGATACGGTGTGTTTTCGCTGGTAGCAAATGTTAATTTTTTCTTTTTTTTTTGAAAAAATAATTGGTTGCTTATTGCTCTAGGTCATTTTTTTTTTCATGCAATTGTAATGTGAAGATTCAGAAGAAGAGAATCAAAGTTGGGGTGTAGTAGCTGGAGTGCGAGAAGGATTTCAAATTTCAAACTACTTGACTATTACAAGGGACTTTCTATCCCCCCAAAAGTACTATCAAGAGGATTATACGACTGTACCGATCACACATTTATATTCAGTAGGGTTTTGCCACTTGATCAAATTTGCCAGTTCGAAGAGAGTGAGGGATAGCTCAAGTGGTTAGAGTTTCCCTCCCGATTTCAGGAAATCCTGGGATCGATTCTCACCCCTGCCCTTGTGGCTCTCTAAACACCAAAAAAAAAAAAAAAAAAAAAATTTGCCAGTTCGAAAAAAAAAAAAAAACCCAGCAGCTTACAGTCAACAGCCAGATCTATACCAAAATTTTGGAATCAACTGTAACTCCATATTCTCGGGGAAGTATACTGCCAGAAACAACTCGAAATTTCATATACAAAAACACTACATGAGTGACAGAGACTCAAATATGTACATCTTTTATTTCGGATGCAAAAAGAATATTTTCCCAACTAAAAAACAATCTGGGAAAAGAATCTGAACAGAAAATTGTAATTAACCGCCACAAGGCAAATAAGAGAAAACAGAATGAATTTCCTCTCTACAAAATATAGCCGCGGAATAGACTAGCTCCATCTATGAAGAAAAAAGAGCTTCCAAATATTCATCAATGTAGGCTAAACAAGGCCAGTGATCTGTTCTAATTCGTACCAGTGTGGAAAAATCAGATACTTCCATCCGAAAGAGAAGATGAAAACGGGGAGGTAAAAATATCAACACTTGAAAGCATCCCATGTTTGTCTTACCAATGTTGATCTTACCATCTTCGTTATCCAAGTATGTGAGATATAGTGGACCACCAGCAGACTTTGCAACTGAGTTATTTCCATCAGCAGAATCTGACGACTTATCCATCCACGCAACATCCTGGATTAAGCCCCCATCCTTCACAATCTCCACAAGAGATTCACCAATCACACCAACAACAAAGAGAGCTAAATATCTTTCCACAATACGAACTGCAAATATTGAAGGAACTTCGAGGAGTTTGACAGATTGTGTTCCATGGATTGCTGCAAATCCCTTCCCGCCTTTAAGTGAAAATGTCTCCCGGCCAGCACTGGAAGAGGTACCACATACTTCCCACAAAGCATTAAAAAGGCGGGAGTAATATTCAGGAACTGCACCTTCCAGTATTTCAGATGGGGCAGCAGCCTTGAGAAACATGTCCTCAATTCCAACTGAGACCCCCTGAAGCTTGCCATGTATAAGCTGACCATTTTCTGCATTTGCATCAATGGAAACATCAACAAGACCTGGCACAGGTTCTCGTGGTTCCAATTCAATGGTAACTGGTGACTTAGAGACTGACTTTTCACTAGAGGGGATTCCAGCAGGGACTATGTCCAGTGACTCTTTCTTCCGGGGACTCACAAAAGTTGATTCACCAAGAAGAAATGGGATATGATATGATGGTATAGAACCATAAGCAGCAGAGGACGAGAACTTGAGAACTATTCCATACATTGCAGGCAGTGCATCTAATTCATTAGCAACCTCCCCCGTTGAATCTGATCCCCATATGCGGTTGAAATGATCAGATCTAAACCTCAAAGAACAGGGAATTCTAATCTTGATCCCTGACATGTGCCTGGGATCAGGAATACATGAAAAATGCTTCCTCAATATATCCAAAGTCCCTGAAATTTTGGAATCCATAACTCGTAGAGGTTCTTGAGGCTGATCTAATCTTTTATTGTCAGGGGAAAAGTCGGTAGCTTTATAGTCACTGGAATCTTTATCATTCAACTGTGATTCACTATCCTTGATGCCATCCACATAGCCATTCTTGTCAACGTCATAATCAATAGCTGGTAAAGACAATGACCAAGATTGCTTCACAAGCAGTGGTATCATCCGCTCAAGATGGATGTAAGATGAAATACTTCTGGATTTCTTAAGATCCTCAGAAAACCGAGGAGATTGAACATTAAATGTAGAACTTGCATGAGGTGATGGTGAGATGCCAACCAATTGATCCCCAAGGTTCAGCATATGCTTGAGTTTTTTTCCAGGTATGCATATCAACATTCGTAGGTAAATCCTACAAATCACAGAACAGATAAATTAATATTCCCTAAGGTGAAAGAGAGCATGAAGAAGATTCTAAAGCCGTAACCTTTATCACATAAACATAATTTTGTGTCTGCTGAACAAAAATGAATCACAATTTAAGGCACATAGAAGGCCCAAATATAAGCCCAATGATTTTTTTTTTCCTCAGAAAACTTTGTTTATAAAAAATACCCCCCTAAAATATAGAGGGCTACATCCCACATGCCCTAGTTTGTAAACTTTGTATGGAAATGCATATAAATTACTATCTCCAGAATTGAAGAATCATAGAACATGAAAGCAGAAAGCTGAGAATCTATATGTTATTGATATGGAGTG